GGTGGTTGCCTGAAGTGTATAGATTACGCTTAGTCTCTTTCCAAACCCTCATGTAATCATTGGATGACTGATAGTGTATTAGCGTTCAGTATATGAATATATTGGAAGAGGAATTTCACATTTCTGTAAGGTTGATGATCCTCGAGAGGAGGAGCATATTCAACGTATGGAAAATCTTGGTGTTCCCTTTCAATGTCTCTTTCCAGATGGCTGCAGTTACGTTTTTTCACGGGGGAAAATGGCAGAGAGGGAATAGTGGAGGAGGGAAAAGACCTCCTTCCATTTTTTATAACAAGCCTGTTGAAGTGAGGATTAGCGATGTTGCTGTGTGCTTTTCTTCCCATGTTTGTCTACTGTTGAAATGGCCAAAGGATATAATGATGATGTGTAGTGGGAACGAGGAAAATGTGGGTGTAGCGGGAAAGAGGAAAATGTGGCCGTCGAATAGCAAACGCAAACATTCATAACAGATTTGCATTTCCAGCTACGTAAAATAAAAAGTTGGCAGTAAGACTGGGATGAGCACACACCCAAGCCATAAAAGCCGGCCAGCAGGACTGGATAATAGTCAATTAGAAACACAATCTCATATTTCATACACTTCGCATACTCTTTAACGGCGGCTTCTTGTGAACTTTTAATTTTTATCACCTTCAATATGACTGCAAAATATCAAGATCTGTATGTCGCTGACAGCCTCATCATACATTGGTATAAAGGTAGCTTCAATATATACCACCATAACTGTGTTACCAGTTTAGTTACTTAGATGGACCGACGATAATTACAGACAGACATAATTACAGAGGAAGCTAATTAAGGTTTTGTCCTGTGATGCGATCATAACTGTTCCGCTATTTAAGCTATTTAAGGTTATTAAGGTCTGTTCTTTTCCGTTTCGTGTTCGATCTGCTGTGCCGATCAGTTATGTATATTTTTGATAGATGATATATAAAGTAATTCCCTTTCCCGAATCAGGGGTGATTGTTTGTTCATTGTATTTGGCATGAGTTGTTCTCCCTCTCTGCTCCCGACTACCATTTTCCATCTACCTCTTTGCTCCCAAATACCATTAATTATATCATTATGAGTACTCATTCTCAATCCCCTGAACCATCTGCCCCACTTTCCAGTCAAACCAAGCACCATGGGTCCGGGAGGCATTGGACCGATGAAGAAAGTGCTCTATTGGAAAAACATCGGGAGGAGTACAGAGACGCCAACGACGCTGCTCGTGCTGAGATATTTTCTCGAGTTTTGCAAGACATGCTCGACATACTCCCCAATGGAAAATCGTTCAAGAAGGAAGAAAGATCAGCTGTTAAAAAAGTAAGTACTTTTTCCAGGGGCCCTCTAATTGATTCCTGACGGACTTGTAGGATATTAAAGAGTGGTTTGCCCGGTACAGTCGTAAGAGAAGTCAGAAAATGCCGAGGATGGGAAAGTCGTGGCACGCCCGGCGTGTGTTCCAGCATGAGAACAAGGACACCATCGATACCGAAGCGAAAAGGCTTTGTGCCGAAGCCATTGAAGAGGGACAAAAGAGGCCTAAAGGGGGAGATCCCACTCATTTTGATTTTCGGGAGTGGGTCGTGACTCAAATGATGGGAAAACTGAAGAAAAGGGAGAAAGACGTACTGCAGAGGACGGCCGAGGAGTACAACAAGAAGGGAGTTGACCCGGAACTCAAGTCCAAGTAAGTTAATTTTCATTATTCTAACGTTGGCTTATCTGGACCTTTGGTAGACTGGCTGTAAAGAACTGCACAGCTCGGATGCATGCATTTTCCAAGGAACTTTATGACACAATGGGTGTCCGGGTCTTTATCTTAGGATGTTATCTGAAGCCCGATGGTAATTTGGACGTCTCGACGTATGACTTCAATCAAGAACTCGGGAATGGGAAAGACTTTATTGATAACCATAGCCGGACTTTCCATGAGGAAGGAATATCGGTATCTTCTTGGAGAGCACACAATGAAGAATACTATGGGTTGGAGGATCTTGCTTCGGCCGAAGGAGGACACCGATCCCGGGGTGCTATGACTTTGGAGAAGAACCTATACCTTGAACCTATTCTACCCGATCCATCGAAACCACCACTTAAAACTTCCCGTGATATTCGAATTTGGCGGCTGAATGTTCTTCGTACATTTGTCAACCAGCACTATAGTAAGCCGGTCCCCAGAGATTCTGCCCA